TCCTCTCTCTTTTGAGATTGGCGGTCGGAGATTGACGGCAGGCCGGAGGTAGATGTCTCCTTGTTATCGCGGGCTCAGATCTGGATCATATTTTTCTCTGGTGTCGTTTCTCCAAAAAAAAGAAAAAAAGAGCTAAAGATGCTTGCCCCTGTGCACGCTTCTTTTCTATTTCTCTGGTTTCCATCTCCTCATCTGGTATTAATTTTCTATTATATCTGACCTTCTTCCTTGTTGAATTCATGGTACTGGCGAACTATTCTGAATGGGTTATCATCCTTGCTGATGACGAGTGTAACGGACTGAGGTGGGTGGCTTGACAGCAGTCGGTCGGACAGCGAGGTTGCCAAACGCAAGTCGGTTGGCTGGCAGAGTAGGTCGACTGAAAGGGATTGCCTTCATGATAAGGTGGCTCGATGTTAGTCAGCCAGACAACAAGGTGGCTAGATGCAGGTCGGTTAGCCAGGCAGCAGTCGGGCAGTTGGACATCAGTCGCTCGGTGAGATAAAAAATCTGAGCTTTCCTCCATTAAACATCTTCCTCCTTTGTAGATACATAAGCCTGTCATAGAGATCTATTGAATCAACCACCGAGCTTTATGGATAGGGGGAGCATGTAATGGAGAAGAGGACATAGATGCTTAGGAGGCAACTCCTTGTATTCCCACTGAAATCGACCGGCTAAAATTGACTGACGGGGAGATGTTCTGCTCGCGACAGGAGCAGCTAATGGTCGGTCGACGTAAATTGATCATACGGGGAGAGGTCCGGCTTGCAATGGAAAATCTTTAGGTCAGCTGGTGGAAATGGCGACCCAATGAGGTGAGTCAGTAGCTGCGAGAGATAGTTCGGCCGGTTGAATAGCTGATGTGGTAGACTTTTGCACAAAGAAAACAGGCTGAGAGAGCCGGTATTGGGAAAATTTGATGCAAGATAGGATGGAAAATTTGCATAGAACTGTGAGAGAAAATATAATTCGTTAGTGTGCAAGTTTCCCTTGCAATTTTTGCTAGGATTAGCTCTGTGAAGAGTTTTTTCTCAATGTTAGCTTATTTTCTTGTTGATGATATGATCCAAGCTTACGACACCTAAAAGAATATTGAAACCAAATCTTTTTAGTTGACTATGCCCAAGGAAAATAACGTTTGAGCAAAGAGGATGTTGTGAGAGAGAGAGAGAGATATAAGGAAAACTTCCCCTGACTGGGGAAAATGGAGTGTTCCCGGGCTTGTGGACTCATTTTATTCCATAAAATTAGTTATTACAAGTGAGGGGAGCCCCAAAAGACTCTTTACATGAAAGTATCCCCTATTTATAGATGACAGAATGACTAAAAAGTAAATTACAACATTGCCCTTCTTTTACAGGATAATTTAGTTTTTTATGTTTATGTGTTTACTCGATAACTTATCGACAACAAAATCTTTTATTCTAAAATATTTCAGTCAAGGAGTTGTCGGATTCCAACGGCCAGTCGAGCGAAAAAGCTTTCTATCTAGCGAAAAAACTCATCGTTTGGGGGGTAAAGTTTTCCCAGGGTGGGAGGAATCCTCTATCGAGAGAAAGAGTCCTCCGTTGAAAGAAGAAACTTCTTATGGAGGAAAAGTCAGCCGAGAATAGCCAATTCGACGGAGCAGACTACAAATTTTCCTCTAGATCCGTGCAATCTAATCTTTTAGTATACAAGTATAAAATTAATTAATTAATAGTATTCTATGTCTAGTTCAAAAAACACGTCTGTATACCCATTATGATCAGGTTTTAGTCAATAGATTCTCAATAATTTTTTTTTCGGTTGAGAAATTGAAAAGAAAAATACAGGAAAGCTTTAAATCCATTAAATTTATTTGAGAAAAATATGATAAAATTTTTTATTTTATTTTCACAAAATTATAATGAAAATTATATTGTTTGAACTTAACTTAATCACGGATTAAATTTAATCAGATTATATTTATCAAACTAGTGTTGAGTAGCTTATTCGATCCAATCAACAAGCTTATAGTAAGTAGCTTATTAGCAAACCCACTGAACTTCTTTAAGCCAATTAACGAGCTACACTATGAAGTAGATTATTAACTAACCAACCAAATTCCATTAAGCCTATTAAAATACAAACCATCAAGCTTAAGAATGAGAAATTTAATTGGATAAAATGAACAAACAAGCATCGTATCACTAATAATTTGCATTCATGAATAAAAACAATCTAAAGAAAAAATATCTAACATAATTCGATGTTAATAAATTTAAAATTGAATCTTAAACAAACATATTATCAAATCTTAACCAAACATCATAACAAATTTATTCATGAATTTGAAATAATATTGTTTATGATAAACGAATCCAACACTTTGCAAATCAAATTTATTAATTTTTCCATAAAAATTATAAAAAATATTCATAATTATTTGATTAATAAATAAACACATTAATCAAACTTATTAATTCATTTGCGATGATAGGTAAAATCGAGTTGCATTAACTTAAGAATATCCGGTCAACATGTGACACAAAACAAGAAAAATGAGGGATTTTTTCCATTTTTTTCTACAGAAAATTACATCGGAATGATAGAATACGTGAAAAGCCCGGGGGTAGAAAATTTTAGTCGAAAAGATTAAATGCTCGCTTTGAGACAATCAGGCCAAACGTAATCCAAAAATATTATAACTAAGACCGAAAAGGCCGAAGAAGAGGAGAATGAGATAGTAGTATAGTTTCTACTCCACCCAATTTATGTCTAAATTTTTAAGTTTTGTGAGCCATTTCTGCGTATCTTGCGAAATAATTGGCTTATGTGATACCGTTCTGTGGTCCTCGGTCTCACAAACCTTAGAATCCCGTTGATTCTCTCCATCACGATCTCCCGTTTTTCTGGAATGCCTTACCTCAAGAGATAGAAGGCGGGAAACTTCCTGCAAGCCGCCCCATTTCTCCAGTGCTCGGGCAATGTCATAACGCCCTATTAGATGGGAAAAAAAAATGAAAGTACATAAAAGCGATAGAATTTGAAAGCAAAGCTATCAATTGCAGCAATCGTCAAAGTTCTGATAAAAGCGATACTCTCGGAGTACAAGCAACAACTCATATTACATAGCATAGGATATGAAATATGGCCTGTTAAAAAAGAATATAAAGAATTGAATTTATGTAGGCTTCCTTAACCTATTAGTTGAGAGCTTGCTTGCATATAAAGCGTGATGTATGTTTGTGATTTAATTTGCTCAAATACTTTTTTAAGAAAAATTTGTGATAGTGCAATACTTATAATAAATAAAAGGAAAACTTACATCAAAAAGGTTTCGACACATGTCTCGAGAAGATCCGACGGCTCAAAATAGGAGGATGATGAATGAGATCTCTTGATAAGGATCAATGGGACCCATAGAAACCAAAAAGAACTATGGGATGACTCAGCAAACCGATCAAGTCAAGACTTGAGCCATCCCAAAGCAAGGGCTCTCAAAACAAGTCTCTCCGGGCGGAATTCGCCAAGCTAGAGCCAATCAATTCGGGACGCCATAGGAGAATCATATTAAGCCTAATCAACCAAGCCAAGCCGGTCGAACATATAGGAAAAAATAGAAAAATTTTAATTAATTGTGAAATACCAAAAATGCCCTAGTAAAAGACCAACTTGGTAGGGGCAAAAAGTTATTTTCCAATGTACTGGTAAAACCACAACTAATAGGGAAGCATTTCTCAGGGCAGCTCCCTCTTCTCCCATTTTTACTATTCATAAGAACCTTTCATGCTCCATAAAACAACCTCCCCCCAATTCACACTTTATTTCTTGGGTGATTCACAGACAATCTCAGATTCGACATTCTAAAAAATATGTTGAGTGTGGATCTTGTCACAAACAAGAAGAAGATAACCCAAAGAGAAGAACCAAATAACATAAACACAGATAATAGGGAGATCACGAGGGAATTCGTGACCCAATAAATTCAAGAGTTGAAAGATCAAATATTGGAGGTCATCCAAGCTGCACTAACTCAAGAAAGAGATCAACATTCCCGGAATAAAGGGCCGGTGTCCAAAGACAGAAGAGTCCCCCAACCTTGGAAAGGGAAGATGACTCCTAAAATTGGGTTGGCAACGATCGATTGTCATCGGTTTGGGCATACTGAGCTATCCCATCAATCCGAGAATGTGTTCTCCCCGCAAATCTGTGAGGTCAAGCCCCAAAAGCGATTCAAGATCCCAACACTAGAGTCCTATAAGGGCAGACTGATTTGATCGACTACATAGCCTCGTTTGAGTCGATCATGTGGTACTAGGGATCACCAACGTACATAAAATGTCGCCTTCTTTATACCACTTAACAAGCTGAGAGAATTAACTCTTAGATGGTTCAACGAATTAGCGTAAAAGTTAATCACAACATTCAATAATTTCAAGCAGATGTTTGTGGGCATAAATTTCCATTGCCTAGAAGCCTTAGAAGAGCTTGCAAGCCCTTCTACGAATTTGTCAAGAACAGAGCGAGAGTCTGTGCTCATTCATCACCCACTTCCATAAGATGTTGGAAGAGCTGCACATGGAGCCCGCAGTTGCCCATGCAGCTCTAGCTTAGGGTCTAAAGGAAAAAAGGGCTAAAGGAAAGACACTTATGATACGCATTTGGACTGTTGCGGCTAAAGATGTCAACCAAGTTGCTGGAGCTGGCCAACGACCACATATCAGCCGAGGAATATAACTCCACCCCTGCCTCCTCCAAAACAGCATCCTCCACTCTTCACATGCAAAAAAGGACAGCTCAAGTCGAAGGGTGGAGGTTGAGACACAATCCACGTCCTTCCGCCCGCCCTCATTTCGAAGACGCCCAATTGCCCCGAGCTCATAGAGTGACCGACAGAATGCACCACCAAGAGAATCAGACCTGATATTCTGATCAGCATCCGACTCAATATGTCATGCAATCGCAACCCAATCATGAAGGATGCAAACCAAATCTGTTGAAACTTTCAATGATTGAGATGGTAGAGACCATACAAAATGACTACTTCAACAAAGCGCCTCCTATGAAAAACGAAGCTGACCTACAAGATTCAACGAAATATTGTGCCTATCATCGTGTCCACAATCATGACACAGAGAACTACCGACACTTCCAGAGCTTGATCGAGAAGTTAATCAACTCAGGGAAGTTGAAGGAATTTATGACACTCGGAGCAACGATCCAGCAACAGTGGAAGGCTCTAGTTAAGGAAATAACAGACAAGTCGGTCAAAGTTCACAAAATTCCTATTCTTAGCATAGTTCCTGCCATCTTTGGAGGAGTTGGGACTCATCCCACTGAACTAGCCTAAAGTAGCTATAGTCAAGAGAGCCATGCACAACCACCCTCACATCAAAACAGCTTGCGTCCTCTTATAGCCTTCACCAATGAAGACATTCCCCCTATGGGTAATCCCTACAATAGCTTCACCAATCTGAACTCTGCTTGCCTGAAAGATAGATACCCACTACGGTGAATCGACGCACTTGTAGAACCCAACTGTTGGATAAACTTCATTGACGCCTTCTCTTGATACCATCAGATAAAGATACATCCGGCAGACACTGAAAAAACTGCATTCATCACTAGAGAGGAGCGTATTGCTATGTTGTAATGCTCTTCGGGCTAAAAAATGCTGATATTACTTACCACCGCAAGATAGATGCAATTTTTCCTAAACAGAAAGGAAAAAATATTGAAATGCATGTGGATATCTTAATAAAAAGTAAAACGCACGAACAACATATGAAAGATTTACAAGAGGCATTCAAAACGTTAAGAAAATTTAATATCAAGCTCAATCCTCCCAAGTGCGTTACTTCAAAACATTAAGGTAAGCAAAGAATTTTGTTATAGACAAATGTGGGAAAGCATTCAAAATTTTAAGAGATTCTCTGGCATTGCCCCTACTCTTGCAAAATCTAAAGCCGAACAAGAAGCATTCCATGTATTTGGGGGTTGGAGCAGAAGTTGTTAACTCGGTTTTAATTTGAGAGTAAAAGAGTAAGCAATTCCTTGTACATTATGTCAGTCGGGTCCTCTAAAATGCAAAGCTCAGATATCTAATAATGAAAAAGCTAACACGCTCTCTCATTATCTCCGTTCGCAGGCTCCGCTGCTCTAGGGCATCATCGACAACCCACTCAAGTCAATCCTCATAAAACTAAAACATTCCAGGCGACTCCTGATATGGACGATAAAGCTCAACAAATTTGATCTGTCATATGTACCGAGAGCTGTCATTAAAACTCAAGTGATAATTGATTTCCTGATAGACTTTTCCAAGCCAAGCGAACCCGAAATTAACAAGCGGCAGCCAAGCCTAGATTCTTGACATTGATGGAGCATCCAATCACGCTGTGGCGGAGCTCAACCTCGCCCTGACTAGTCCTACCGACGATCATTTCTATCACTCAATACATGTGGAGTTCGAGGTTGCCAATAATCAAGATAAATAAGATCTGATAGTCGAATTAAAATCTATCAATGTAGTGGGCGCATGACACCTACTGGTGAGGTCCGACTCACAATTGATGGCAATCAGATGGAAGGGCATTTTGAGATCAGGGATGACATGATGGGGCGGTATCTCAAAGCTAAAGTAAAGATAAGAACATTCAAAGAGTTCATGATTAATCAAGCCCATTTTAAAGACAATCAGGTAGTAGATTTCCTATCCAAGAGCATCCACTTGAGGGAAGGGATGCCCCATAGGCTCATCTGACTGACCATAAAGGAAGCTGAGGTGATAAAACTGGAGCTAAAGGATCAAAGAGCTGTATGGATTCATACATCCAATACCTTGAAACCGAGAAGGTCTTGGAGAAAATAACCGAAGTGAAACATTTCACGATTAAGGATGCCAACATCTTTCGATCAAAGGAAACTTTTTTGAATGTCATACACCTCACTGTACTTAAGATGTATAAAAAAAAATGAGGCAGAAGATGTCCTCCAGGAAGTACATTGAACACCACTCCGGAGGAAAAAAATTAGCACATAGAGTACAACAACAAAGATATTTTTGGCCGACACTGCAAGACACCTAGAGATTACTGAGGTGTCAACAATGTCAAAAGTACGAACTGCTACAACATCAGCTGACCCACAAAATTTTAACCTGTCATTCCACAGTCATTCGTCGTCCGAGTTTCCTTCAACTCCTTCGACCTTTTTCCTTAGCATGTTTAGGATGATTTTATTGGTTGCCTCGACAACCCATTAGTTTGAGGATGGTATATGGACCCGAACTTCAAGTTAATCCTCTGGCTACGAACATCCCTCACCCCTTGATCGGTGAATTGCGTTTCGTTATCTCTGACGATTACGAGTTGTAGCCCATAGTGATAGATTAGATATGTCCAAAAGAAATCCTGAACAATATTTGTGGTGATCGTAGGGCCCTCACCCCGTCATGAGGCCAACAAAATTTCCTGCTTATTGTAGATTATTTTTTCATGTGGATTGAAACTAAGACGCTCGCTCGGATCACTTCAAATATTGTTCAGGATTTCTTTTGGACAGCTCTGATCTGTAACTATGGGCTACAACTCGTAATCGTCGGAGATAACGGAACGCAATTCGCCGATCAAGGGTGAGGGATGTTCGTAGCCAGAGGATTGACTTGAAGTTCGGGTCCATACACCATCCTCAAACTAATGGGTTGTCGAGGCAACCAATAAAATCATCCTAAACATGCTAAGGAAAAAGGTCGAAGGAGTTGAAGGAAACTCAACCGAGTTTCTATCATTTATTATGTGGGAGGTCCGAACAAACCTCCTTCAAGGCGACCAAACAAACCCCATTTATACTGTCACATGGGATGGAGGAGGTATTGTCAGTTGAGTATAACCTTCATAGTTAAAGAGAGGTGGCAGCCTCAACATTCGATGAGAAAGACTTAGTTGAGTGGCAAGAAGCTAATGATGAAATTGCACTCGCGCTTGACTTCGCAGAAG